GTCACCTTTCTGCTTTCCCAGGCTCCTTATCTGATGTGCATTCCCAGAAAAGGAACTCTATTCCATGGGAAAGAGTTTCGCTCTGGAGCCAGGAGGACCTGGGGTAAGACCCTGGCCTCCATTTACCACCCCTGGTTCTGAACTTGTGCAGTCAGTTTATTCAAGATTTCTGAACCAAACTTTCCTTTTCTGAAACAGTGAGGGGGGAGGAAGGGGGAGTTAGGTGGTACTTATATGACAAAATTGTGAACATTAAATGGAACAAGGTATGTATGATGCCCACGAGAATTCTTCTGAAGTTCACCTAAATATGTAGACTCATAACACCATCATGCAACAATTGTTGCCAGCTGACTAGCAGGACAGTGTCAGGGGTTCTTCAACAGAGGCCTTGCAATCCAAGCAGCTGAAACAAGTAACAGCTCACACACCCATTTGAGGACTTTTGCCTCTCCATATAGTGCCAGGTATAAGGTACAAGATCTCTATGAGGCATGTATGTACAGGAGCTACCCTTAGAAGAATCTTGATGTCCTAAGGAACAATTCTTTGGCTTAGTTGCTAGAGTTCTCCATATGAAAGTGCATTCAGGGAAATCCAAAGCCTACCATTCTCATGGGATATTTATAGCTCATTTGTGCTTCTCCCAGTCCAGATGCAATTTACCAATCAGGGATCATTTTTTATCAGAAGCAGTGTTGCCTAGCAATATAATTTGATGCCTACTATCTACCTGGTTTCCAGGGGAACAGAGCTAGGTGGTTAAACCAAAGGTCAGATTCTCAAGCAGCAAGGGAAAAGGTTTGTTAACCCTTTCATCTCAGGAAGCAGAAGATTCAAGCAGGGAGCACACACATCATAGTTATCAAATTACACCAGAATTTTAATAAATACTAACTTGATTAAATATTTAAGAGTTTACAATGTGAACCAGAAACTAAGCCCAACACTGAGAAAATGTGGCAAGTGAGAAGGTATGGTGCTTGTCTTTATATTTTTTCCTCCATTTGTTATGCCCTTAATTCCTTTCATTTCCTGAAGAACTCCTTCCTGTTTATCCTTCAGTAGGCAATTCAAGAAAGACATTGTCTGTTCTCTGAAGTCCATGTGTACTCTGCTAGCAATTTGCATTGCTCTGAATTAATGGACTGGGTTTGGGAATCCCTAAATCCCCTAAAATAATACACAGATTTTGTATACATGTAGGAATATGTACTTGCAGAAAATGGTTTAAGTCTTCTTTAAATTCTCAAATGGATCTGTGCCATCTCCTGCTTCCTAGACACCCCCAAATCTTTCTTAAGCATTTATTATAGTATGATTTTGTTATTTGTTTATTGATTTCCATTTTCCACAAGAACATGGGTGCCTTGAGAAAAGGGACAGTATATATTAACAATTTGTGTCAGCTGAATGCAGAATTCATAGTAGATTTTTGGAAAATATGTATGTTGAAAGAATTGCTTCTTAATATTTTTATAGACTTAGTAACTTGAATGATGCTACTGGTGTAGCATTTCCTAATTTGAAAGGGAAAGTTCTTCTGTTAAATGAAATCAGCATTTTTGTTCCTAGCTTTGTCTTCTGAAGTTATATATTAAATGTCTACACCCTTCTCGATGTTAACTGCCTTTTTTTTTTTTTTTTTTTTTTTAAGATTTATTTATTTGTGCATACAGAACTGGGGTACAGGCCAGAGGCTCATGGGCGGTGAGAGGCTTCACCAGAGACAGAGTGGGGAGCAGAACAGGCATATCGACGAAGTACACTGCTGAGGGAAGCAGCGGGCGGGTCAGGAGAGGTCTGGCTCGCCATGTGGTCTCCTCCGGGCAGGCGGCAGGCGGCAGGCGGGAATTGAACTCATGCGGAAGTGGCTTCAGATTCTCAGTGCTGTGCTTTAACCCGCTGCGCCACCAGGGAGGGCCTGTTAACTGCCTTTTTATGAAACTCACAGTTTATTGGAGAATCAGAAAAACAGTTAACATGATTTGATTATTCACATCTTAAATATTTTCATTTAAAACATGTAAATGTACATTAATTTACTAAGGTGTTATTGTGAGACCAACATCTTTTGAGTGTGTGTAATAAAAAAATGTTTTAGTGATAATATTAAATTATTTTTTTATTGAGGTAACGTTAGTTTCCAATACTGTTTGTGACTTAGAGGTATAGGATCTCCCCCTGTGGGTGTTCTTACCCCATCACACCCACCATCAAGGCACCCACAGTCCACACCACAGTTGATTCCTTATCTCTGTCACAAATCTACACTCAGGTTTGTAGGTTTTGTTACTGGTTTTATCTGACCCTATGTTTTGTTTCTTTATATTCTACATATAAGTGACACCTTCTGGCATTTATCTTTCTCCTTCTGGCTTATTTCACCTGGAAAAATCCCTTCCAATTACACATATGTTATTGCAAATGGAAGAGTTTATCTTTTTTTTTTTTTTTCTAAGATTGACTAGCATTCCATTGTGTTCATCTTCCTGAACTGCCCATCTGAGTACTGAAGTGCCCATGTTTGGGTACTTAAGTTGTTTCAATAACTTGGCTATTTTAAATGGTGCTGCAATGAATTAATGTTTTGTATCCTTCAGGTAGTTATCTAGTAGTGGGACTTCTGGGTCAATGGTGGATCCATTTTTAATATTTTCAGAAAAACCTTTGTGTTATTTTCCTTAGGGGATGGACTAACCTGCATTCCCACCCATGGTGTGCAGGGGTTCCTGTTCCTCTACCTCCTCCCAATACTTGTTTCTGAGACCAGTACTTCTTGTTGAATATGAAACCACTTTCTTGTCACTTTTTTCTTTAAACTGAAGTTTTCTTAAATATACTGTCTACATTTTCCAGTTTGGGTTTCTTTAAAGTGCAATGAAAAGTTAGATATTCTTCAAGTAACTGGATTTCAGAGTTCTTCTCAATTTGTACTTTTCCTTCCTCTCCCTAGTGTGCTATAGTTATATCCCCAGTTATTATTTTTAATAACTTGCTTTCATCATTTGACATCTGTAGTTTTCAGAAGAATAGAAACTCACATTGCTTTGATTTACATACTATTTGATTAGATTACATAGCTAAGATAACATGTATGAGTGGCATGACTCGCTTGTCTCTTGGATCAGTGATCAGAGTGGAGAGTGTGAGCACGCAGGGAACTTTAAGCATTCACTTAGCCGTGGGTCTTAGGAAGACTAGAAGCGTATTTCTTGTCTCAGTTTTTCTGAAGATAAATTATTTCAAAAATTCTTCATTATCTTGCCCAATCTTCTTTTCCCTCTAGACTATGGATTCTCCTACTTTATAGTAGAAAAGAAGTAAACCATGTTTGGCTTTTCTCCTGGTAAAGTCTCAGATGTGCATTTTCCAGAAAAAATAAAATAAAATCTTAAAAGAAAACTAGTGGCAAATGGAAAAGTTTACTTAGTTGTAAGAATGTACTAAGCATAAAAAGAAATGGGAAAGTAGAGCTTAATTTCTCACCCTGTGAGTGTGGTCTGAATTTAATGATTTGTTCCCAAAGAATAGAGTATGCGAAAGGAGAAACAGTAGTTGAGGTAGTGGAGAATCCCAGGAGATGCTCCCTTACTCAACTGATTAACATCACAAATGATATATCATGTTGATAGAATATCCCCTCTGATATGACATGAAAAAAGGGTACTCACCTCTGTGGTATTCCTTTCCTAAACCCATACCCCAGTTGAATCTTGAGAAAATATTAGACAAAATCAAAATGAGGAGTATCTACAAAATACCTTAACAGTACCACACAAAATTCTCAAAATCCTGAAAAATAAGGAAAGACTGAGAAACTCCTACAGGCCATGGGAGATAAGGGAGACTTGATGATGTTATCAGACAAAACAACATTTTATCATAGTTGATCCTGGAAAAGAAAAAAAGAATTTAGGAAAGGAAAACCATAGAAATGCAGATAAAACCTGTAGATTTAACAGGTTTTATGATTCTGTAAGAACTTAACATTAGGGAAGCAATGAGACCTAGCTTTGCCATTTTGTAACTTTATAAACCTAAAATTCCAAAATAAAATTTATTTAAAAAAGTAATGGGAGAAATCACCAAGGAAAGTACTGCATGATTTGAAAGTGAAGAAGAGTAACTCAAATTAAAAGGCAATCACTATAAAAAATCTTTGCTTGTATGATAAAGAACTAATATTTTTTTGTATAGAATCTACATTTGCAAATTATTAAGAAGCTATAGCTACCTCATTGGAAAGGAATTATTGATCATAATTCACAGGAGAAACACAGCAACCAGTAAATATAAAAGCAGTTCAATCTTACAAGTTATTAAAGAATTGCTGATTAGAGCAGAATTGAGATCTTTTTCCCACGTTACATGGAAAAAAAATGATAGTATTCTAATCTGAAAAAGGTAGGTAGAAGGTTGTAGATTGCTACAGCTGTTCTGGAAAACAGATTTCTAATATTGGCACTGGATTTTAAAATACACATCATTTGTATACTGAGAAGATTTTTCTCCCTAGCAAATAATCAAATATACACCCAAATTTTCTAGTAGAAGTATTCTTTATATCTTTGCTGATAATGAGAAACCTAAAAAATATCTAACTGTGAGGATATGATCTAGAAGGTTTTGGCAGACCTATGGATATTAAGCTCATGATTAATAATTTTAATTCAACTAAATAAAACAATGACAGCAAAATATAGTTAGTGCTTTTTTTCTGATCCCAGACTTTACATAAATGTGTACCACTGTGTCTCTTAGAAGGATGGCAAAGAAATCTGTTACCATGTCAAAAGTAGTTACTTGTTCTTGGCCAGTGAGTAATGGATGACTTGTTTTCTTGATATCTCTGCATTTTCAAAACTGCCTGTAGTAAGTAAATATTACTTTTGTAATGGGGAAAAGTTAATATTGCAAACAATGAGGTTAATGAATTTCCTCTTCCATGCTGATTTCCATTTTGTTCTGTAAAATATTGTTTCTTCTCTTTCCATTAGGAAGCTCCTTAGAGTGCTCCCATTGCCAAGTGAGAACTGGGGAGCTCTAGTTGGAGAATGGTGCTGTCATCCTGATCCCTTTGCTAATAAACCACTTCATCCACAAGAGAATGATTGTTTTATTGGAGACTCTTTCTTCTTGGTGAATTTAAGAAGTGATTTGTGGCAGCCAAACCTTGAATTAACCTCAGAAGAGATGCACTGTGTTTCTTCAGAGAACCATTTTAAATTGGTAAATTATCTTTACAATATTAGTACTGATGTAGTGGTTGACTTAGAAACTGGTTTCTCCATTCTTAATTCAGGGCATGTTACACAGCTATTCTAAAGGCTGAAATCCATTGTTTTCAGCTGCCTCTATCTTCTAGCTCTGCTCTATAAACACAGGAAGAGAATATGGCCTTAAACCAAAACAGTCACAAGGGCTGGAGTAAGAAGGAAAAGATTTCTCCATGGGTAGCATTGGGAATGTTACCATTTTACAAGCCAAAATGCTCTACACTCTTGTCTTTAGTATAATATTCCATAATCTGTATGCATTTTATCTCTAATGAAATTCAGAGTGTTCTCTTGCTCCAGGATATCCTGGAACGCAGATAAACCTCAGCATTTTACTGTCTGTCCTTGGTTTAGACTTGCTGGTGTCATAAAAGCAGATGCCATCAAGGAAGAAGAGGAAACAGAGGCGACCAACTGTGGAAATAAAGCTTGTGCCACAGGCTTTAAGTTGATGCTTTGACGTGAGGTCAGGTGGCTATTGCCATTAAAAGTTGCTTTAGAGAGAAGGCAATTTCCTCTCACTGCAGAAAGCAAGTGGTTACCTTATTTTAAGTGGAAATCAATGACATTGACTTGACTCTTGTGAGAAATCATTCCCTTGATGACAAGTCAATGCAGATGTGATTTAAAAAGTAAAGAAAATCATTGCTAGAGAACCTTCATTTTAACATATGATTATTGGTAGGAACAAAGGCAGTGTGTGAAATTTCATTTAGTGTTCATTTAATTATTTTAATGGGAACTGAGCCATATCAGGATATAGATAACAGTTGGGCAGCTTTTTAGGCTGTAAGTTAATTATAGAAGTGTTTTCTATTTTGATGGAGATGAAGGAAGTTCATTAAATATCAAAGTTAAGTTGTAAGTTAAAATTATTTAAGCAACTTATCTCTCACCATAAATAGAAATTCCTTTTCCTAACTGTGGCTCATTTTGTTATAATGCCATAGACTTCTATATTTTTAAAAGATAAATGATAAGCTAAGATGCTTATGTAATAACTAAATTTTAACCTAGATGTTAAAATGAAATTTTATTATTTAAAAAAGATTTGTTTATTTATACATACAGAACTGGGGTACAGGCCAGAGGTGCTGGGGGTGAGAGGATTCACCAGACAGTGAGGAGCAGAACAGGCAAATCTACTGAAACACACTACTGAGGGGAGCAGCGATTGAGATAAAAGAGGTCTGCTATGCCATGTGAGTCACCTCCGTACCGGGAATTGAATTTGTGCTGCAGCAGCTACTATAGCTTCATACTGTTGTGCTTTTAACTGGTTGTGCCACCAGGGAGAGCCTAAAATGAATTTTTAATGTAAATTTTTACACTGGTATTTTACTCTTCTATGTGTCTTAACTTTTAGTTTTATGATTAAATTATAGTTAGGAAAACTTTCGGAAGGTTTGATGGAAGAGGAGCAGAGAAAAGTTAAATAAGAGAAATCACAAGTTTTCCTTTTTAAACTGCCTAATAAACTTTACGTAAATGTAGAAATACATTCACATTTATGTCTTTGCTAGTTATATAATGCCATTAACAAAAATTTCTCTTAATTGTTAATAACCATCCTATGTATTAAAGAAAGACCCTTCATATTTAAACATTAATGGTTTTTTAGTATAAAGGTGACTATGAGAAATTACTGCTGTGACAAGCCATGGTTGGTAAGAATGTTTTTAAGTTAGCCTAGGTGGATGTTTTACTTTAATTGCATATTTAGCTATTGAAGGAATATGCCTGTGACCAAAATAGTAACATAAATTTGGAGGGCTGCTTCAACAGTACTCTCAGGGCCCTTGTGGGAACACATCTGCTCTGAGCTTTTGCAAACCTATTTCTCATATCACCCAGTCTGGCCATCTAGCAAGGTTCTGAAATGTCATATATGACACAGCATCCTAATGGCATCTCTTGGGAAACATTTTTTTGCCCAGCAATATCAAGGGTCTTTAGAAACTGAAACAACACAAAGGAAAATAAAACTGTGGACAGGAGACTAACCCAACTCGGGGAAGCAGTGCCATCTCTCAGATATATTGATTTAATTAGTTAACAACAATGACTTTCTTTGATGATCGCACTGTAGCATTCTTACACTGTTAGGCTGATTCATTGCACAACTTACTTTATTATATCCTTTAAACACAGGTCAAGCAAAATGCATTACAAACCAGAGTTTCTCTTAAAACAAAATTAGAAGTGTTATATTTTAATGTAAAAGACCTGATTTTTAAAATATCCAACACCTATTATTTCCCTCAATACTCCTTGGAGTATATAGTACATTATTTACATTTCTGTTAATGAGACAGTCTGTATCTCTGGTTTTCTAGAGATAACTGTTGTTCATTTCTTTTTTCTTGCATTTGTTTGTCACCTTGAGCTATTTTTCATGTCTACCAACATCATTAAAATTTTCATCCTAATATAGACTGATAAAGATGACACCTTGACCTTTTGTAAATGTATAATATTATTATAGACTTTGTCACACTTGTAACTTTATTCTACTATTTTATTTTTTCAATTTAAGAAGACAGGTTTATTAGGAAAAGGAGAAGAAAATAGAGGCACCTGCAAAGTCATAGGTGGGCAGGAGAGCTTTCAAATGTATTTTATTTTTTCAAGAACAGATGAAATTGAACTTTAAGTTAAAGTGGGCAAGGATGACTAATACCTTTTTTTCCTTCCTGTGGTATTTAGCAATAATTTATTGCTTTTATTAATTTGTGTCATTAAACCCATAGGAGTGTCTTTTGTATATTCTCAGAAAAATGTGTAGCTGAATTTTATAAACATTCACAAATGTAGACAAAATATACTTTAAACATTTAAACAAGTCTTGATTCATGGAATGTGCCTCATCTGCCCTTTCATTATTATTATTATTATTATGTTTGCTCAGGTGCTTTAAAGTAAGCCCCAGGTATTATTTCATCTCTGTAAGTTTTAAGTATATACATAGAGACAAACAACTTCAGCATTGTTTTCACCACTGACAAAGTTGACAGTTACTTTTGATAATATATGACACCATTATATGGATTTTACAAACTGTTTTAGAGGTATCTTTTATTGTTTTTTTTTTTAAATCAAAATCTGTTGTTTTAAGCAATTTCCTTTTTTTACTGGTAAGATTTGAAAAAATTATGACTACCCATGTCTTGAAAAGGTCAAAACTTATTTTTTAAAAAAAACAGCAAAAAATAGTCCTCTTTTCCT